AACCTTTACAAAAAATCTTTCCTGGTTAAGTGAATTTTTTTCTGAAAAATATCGATGGTCACGAAACAATAAGGAAATATGTTCATGAAATATGTAACCACAAAGTACCTAAATAAGTGGATTGAATCATCCTCGAATATATAAAGCATATCATAGATAAACGTTGTAAAACCTACTGCTTAACTATGTGCATATTTATGTCTTTCCTTCATTGACAGAAGGATTCTGTTGATCGCATTATTCGCGATAGATCGCGGTAGAAATCCTTTAAATCCTGGTCATCATTTTCTGGACTGAAAGCATTACCAAATTTTGGTACCCTTTTTTCATATAAGGATAAGCCCAATCTCAAGCCACCACTAAACCCACGCACAAAATGTCCGTGTGCACGGATATAGTTTAAATTAAGATGTGAATACTTTATAGTACTTTATAGCTCCATAAAATTAAATAGTTTTCTAAAATCTTGGATAAAAGGGTCAAGCATGTACTATTACATCCAGGTTGTTATGATCCCCTATTATTAAACCGTCTTGGCCACTGAGAAGAAAATTAACTAATTTGTTTTGGGCAAGGATTGTACATGTATAAATACACCCCACAATCTATTTTTTCTGTTTTTCTCTAGAATAACCGTTCGAATTGGTAGTTTCGAACGAGTTACCAAATAAATTTGATCGGTTCCGTTGGAATTATTTTGTATATATTAATATCGTAAATTTACGTGTTAAAAACTTACATGATTCAAGCAAAGCTAATTTTACATTTGTTTGAAAACGGTACCTTGGATGGTAATACTTCTACTGCAAAATTTCATTTGCATATGCACATTCATCACGTAGAAATTTGAATTAATTATATTTTTGAAAAGAACTCGCCAAATTTCCTTACCCTCAGTTTCACAAAATTGTGTTTAAACTCTAAAAGTATGTAATACATTCCAGACTTTGCTTATTATCTCCAAAAGCTATAGGAATTGGTAGTTTCGAACTTAAAATTTGCTTACTTTCGTAAAAATCAATATGATTTATGGCTTCTGTGTAGACGAGAACCGCTTAAATAATCTAATTAAAGATGAGAACGTTCTCATTTTTATTGAAAATCCTTGACCCCGCATAATTTTTACTGTAGGTACCTTCGTCCTAGGACAACAAAAGGTGGGGCTGGCAGGATTTTAGAACAATTCCCCAAAATATATCAACTTAATCGAAATATTTGGCCAAATCTGCATTTATTAGTTTTTTCTAATTGGTTTATGCATACATCATGTGTCACTGCAATTATGATATTACACGATGATAAAGTAATATTATTAATCATAAAACTCGCTATAAGAGGCAAAGCAAAGATAATTTCAGGGCATGGCATTATTATGAGCAATAAATGTGATTCATGCCGTGATGTGGTTTGATTTGGATGAAATTCCTCTCATCATGAAGAGCCCAATTCTTTCGTAACTTTTTAGTTATAGGTTACGTTTACATGGAAGTAGGATCAGTAGTTATGAATGGTTTAGGGCATTTCATGACCGCAGGATCAAGCTGATACATACATATTCATGTATTTTTTTACATACAATGTCGCCTACGAAAATTTGCTTTTGTATGTCTGAACGGTTGGAGTGTTCTTTGTAATGAATTGCAGGCTTTCACTTTGATCCGTTTACGTTAAGATGTGTAATGAACGTAATGAAGCATGATTAATGTAGCGTGTCAATTAGATTGTGTATGTACATAAAATGCAAGTGTGTATCTATGTGTGAATATTCACATTGCGGAAGGTTTCCTTCAGTTGGGGAGGGAATTTAAGAACACAATTTTTACTTCTAAATGTCTATGTTTCCTTTAAAACAAGAAATATTCCTGCTAGGCCCACGTAAAAATCTGTAAAAATACTGATAAATTGTATAAGTCAAATTTCAAAGTTAGTCCAGAGTAGTTGTACCTAAATTAGTGTCGTCATAGTCACATCTGTTTCAACCTTATGTACATAAATATGCATACTTGGTTGTAAAATTGTCTTGAAAAAACGTGACAAGTGTAATGTCACTTTCTAATTTTGGAAGACAAAAGCTGGTCGGAGAACTAAATGTACTTGTTTTTCAACTTATATAAAAACTGTACCCAACAAAAGTTAAGCGCTTGAATTCATTTGGTCATTTGTAGCAAAACTGCAAGCCGTTTGTAGAGAATATAGAATGCAATGTTGTACGTAATTTATGACAGAAATTCACGCTTAGAGACTGCAGCGTAAATAGGCCTCAATTGCAATTGAAAACTCATAATTATCGTAGTGCATGATACTTTGCTTCCTACATTTTTTTTACTAATGACTCTTCTGAATGATTATGAGTTATCTTTCCAAATATGTATGAATGGAGGACCTACCATGATTGCTGTTTTACCTGGGAAATGTTTTTAATATAGCAATACGCTACATCTTAAGATTAAGAAAATAATATGCAAACCAGAGTTGGTGAGCAGCACAGTCATAATATCCTTTCCTCCATGATATTAGTAAATCGCCTTAGCATGTGTTGGTCGTAAAGTCTGCAAAAACTGGACAGTTTGAGAGTTGATTGCCATCTCAAACATTCGTTATACATTTTTATATCCGTACATTTCGCCTAGGTATTCATTCAATTGGAATGCCTGGCTAACAATGTACATTTTGGAATGTTCGACGTGCCTCAATTATTGTCGAAAATTTCAAATTACCTACGTAGGAATTTCATTTAACTATCTGTATATAATTTGTTTTCCATTAAGCTGTCTTGACTCATGAAGGGCAAGTTAATTAATAAGTTTTGGAATAGGAGTGTCCATGTATAAATACACCCCGCAATCCAATTTTTCTCTCAGTATCTCGAATACGTAACAGTTCGAATTGGTAATTTCGACCATGTTACCAAAAAAACTTGCTTGGTTCTGTTGGAATCCATGTGTAAAGATAATTTCGCACTTGTTTGAAAATGGTGCTTGCATCTGTTTGATAGTAATCTGTCTACTGCATAATTGCATTTGCATACGTACATCCCGCAGAAATTTAATTTAATTATATTATTTTTGTTTAATGGGAAAGAAACCTCAAAACGTTCTTAACTTAACCTCCACAAAATTTATTTTCAATTCAAACAGTACCCTGGAGGAAGTAATCTTGTTCCATTTGGGGCAAGATATGTACATACATTTCTAACATCAAATTTATTAATTATCTTTAATACACTAAGAAATGTGGTTACAATTATAATCAGAGATAATTAAAAATGGTAAAATCTGCATTTTCTCGATTTTTTTAAATCCAAGTAATACAATTCAGACTTTGTTTGTAATCTCCACCAGCAGTTGGAATTGGTACTTTCGAACTTGCTATTCACTAACTTGTAAAAAATCATACTGTGCACCACTGTATAGACGAGTTCCAATTTTGAACCAATTTAATAAATACCTAATTTGAGCAAATATGGAGACGTTCCCATTTTTATTGCTTTCTGCTAGGACTACAATGAAATGTTGTGCTGGAGAGATTCATAACTTGTTCTCGTTCCCGAAAATATATCCACTTAACTTGAAATATACATTTTTCTAAATCAGTACTTTTTACCTGTTAGTTTGTCAATTTATAACGAAGAACCCAATTCTTTCGTTACCTTTTGCCTAAAATTTGTGCCAATATGGAAGGAGTCTCGGTGGTTGTGGTTTTGGACATTTCGTGACCGCAGTACTAAAATGTTCCTACATATGTTTGTACTGTTGGAGTGTTCTTCGTGATGAATTGCAAGCTGTCTCTTTGATCCGGTTAAGTTAAGATGTCAAAATTTGAATACACCGGATCCATTTATGCAAATTAGTACATGTTTTGCACAACGAAAGGTTTCCTATGGTTGAGGAGAGAATTTTATTGTATAAGTTCTTACCTCGAAATATATTATGCACATTCATAAATTTTACCCTTAAAACTTTTGTTTTCTGACGCGTGCCGGAATTATGTATGTATGCGCTACGTTTGAAACGAGATAGATTGTTGCTAGGCCCACGTAAAAATCTGCCCGGCGAATGTCTTTAAACTCATTTGGTTGTATCTCGGCAAAATGTAAATAGGTTGCTTATTGATAAATTAGATAAGTCCAATTTGGAAGTTACTTCAGTGTATGTACATAAAGTAGTTCCGTCATAATCCTGACTGTTTCAACCTTGTGTACAGGTATACTTTGCTGTTAAATTGTCTTGAAAAAAGAAGTGTGACAAGTGTAATGTCATTTTTTTAATTTTGGAGGATAAAGCTGGTCGGAGAATAAAATGTAGTTCTTCTTCAATGAAACAGGGGTCTTTGAGGCGAATATTTTGTACCGGTAATTAATAAAGTATCTGCCTTAATGATGGTTTGATTTCGTGGTTAAGATTAATTACAGGATGGTAGTTAAAAAAATCAAAATTTATATCGATTATGTTTGAGCCCCTCTAATTTGTGCTGTTCTGAATAAATTATTCATGTACAGTTTGAGAATAGGACTAGTTTCTTATTCATTCAGCGTGATGTTCTCTATCCTTTCTAACGGGTTAAAGTTTAAACATTAAAGAACATTCGATCGTGAAGACTTTGTACGAGTTTTTAAAATTACAGTTGCTTCGGGTATTGTGCATACATATTTCGATTCATCCAAGAATTTGGCCGAATCTAAAACTTTCGTAAAATCGACTCTGTTTCAGAGGTCAACGCCGACGGTTTACGCGGCGGCGGCGGCGTGAAAATGTATATTGGTCGGGGGTGATCAGCGCAGTGATCAAATATCTTCGGCGGCGCCTATATAAATTGCTAAACGTATATACGCTAAATTGGAATGATCTGAAACTAATTATGACATGACATAATTTGTGACTGCATACGCATGCATTTGAATGTAATTTCTGTACTAATTTTGTAGCTAACGGTGCAGAATTTTGTATTTTAGTTATGGTAGATTAAATTATAAAAATGAATGTACATATGTACCTATTGAATTCACATGCAGTTGAAATTGTTGAATTTATTTTGCTAAGAAACTATGTAACATATCAAGTTTTGTAAGTACTGAAGAAATAAGTTTCTAAACATATGTAATTAAGATGAAATAAACAAACCAATAAATTGAAACTGAACATTTGATTTACGATATTTTTACATAAACCAGATTGCCACCGATGTCTGCGTAATTTATCTGGGCACAATTTAAGCACAAAACCATGATTTTAGGATAATCGGTTCATGAGTGGCTAATTTTTGAACGAAACTAAATCGTAGTTCGGTTGCAGCAAAATTTTCAGACTACCATTGACCTGATCAAGTTAGTGTTGCCTTTAAAAAAATATCTAATTATTTTACTCCAACGTTGCTTCAAGAGTAAAATTTTCAAAATTACATAAACTGTCGAAATCGGGCGGACAAACCCAACCCGTTTCTAGGGGACTTCTTCTGGTACCTTAAATGTCGTAATTTTTATGTATATACAAATATTGGTTAAATTGTGAAATAAAGTTTTGTATGTGACTTCAGAGTGTGTAAAATTTTTGTAATCGCGATCGCAATCGTGCTAATTAAAAACATCGTAATAAACTGATAAGTTTGTTTTTGTTATAAACCATACGAATTTTCTAAATTGGCTCAGTGAGCGGGGATATTTTATTTTTCTTAACAATCTCCCAAACTTTTTAGTAAATCAATTTTAATGCGTAATTCATGCATAAGATGTTGAAGTGTGTAACCCCAAATTGTGCATACACAATTCTTGCATATGTATGTATGATGTAGCAAATACTCTCGACCCAGATTAAACTTGCAGCAACACAAGGTAAACATGTAGATATATCGACGTGTTAAACTTCCCAAAAATAAAAATCTTGATAAAATGAGGTGCAAATTGTCCAGAAAACTACAACTTCCATGCATTTCTCATCATCAGATCGAAATGAGCATCGTGATCGATTGATGAGCTCACACCGGCATAATAGTCCATAAATTCGTCAAATGTGACCTGTTAAACAAGGTAAGGTATTGATTAATTTTATGCAAATGACAGGTGTAAATATGTATTTTCCATAATTGAAGAATTTAAGTAGTGAAATTATGTAAGTAGAATATTGGCCACCTTTCCATCACGGGTCCCATTTTCTTCAAAAGTTTTCAAAAACTTGGTCAAAATTTCACCCTCGGTTTGTTCCCCGCTTTGAAACTTTGGATTGCTTCGGACGCTGTAGACGTTTTTCAGATCGTCCACCGTGACCACGCCGTCCCCCGTTTTGTCCAGTTTCTTAAAAGCGGCGTCGATCAGCTTCTTCCGTCCGTTGTTTAGTGCGGGCTAAAATTCATACATAAATTGTAGATTAATGTTACTTAGTATTTTTATTGGGGGTACTCAGGCAGTAATTGGTAGCTTGTAAAATCCGTCCGTTTTGCAAAATAATTTTGCAAACTTTTACACAATAAAGAGAATCTAACTACTTACGTTTACAAAAATTTGGAAGCTATAACTTTACTTACAGTATCGGCAGAAAGTCATTATACCCTCATACTTTTTCTACGTCAAGTATGATATTGTTCGAGAAGCTTGAGGGGTTGAACTGCAATTTTGCACAATTACTTATCATGACGCAAGGTTTCCGGAACCATACTTTAAATGACGGTGTGGCACAAGCAACGACACGGTGGAATTATATCCAAAATTCCGACTGGAAAAAAGTCTTTACACCCCTATTCAAGTTACATGAAAAATTGGTCCAAAGTTTTCTGTGTTGAATAGCAGTCAAACTAGCAACTGGAATGTCCACCTCGATCCTCGAGGAAGGCAAGGACACGTCTTTGAATCGACTAAAAAAATGAGCTGGTGAAACAGGTGTCAAAATTCGCCAATTCAAGCTTTATAGCTTCGACCAGACTTTGAGGTTTGATCGCATGTGCTGAAAAATTTTGAGTTTCACCATTGACCATAAATGTTTATTGGCATGCTGTCCGATGATTATGCCAGGCAGTTCAACTATTAAATCTCCTTTGTTCTAAACCAAATCCTCAATAATTTTGATAGGAGCATAGAATCACCGTCCTATTTAAAAATACAATTATTCCCCAGCGGTTATTTCCTTCCGCTACCATCGAGTTCCAACCCAAAATGTCGCAGTAATAGTTTTTGTACATCATTACTTCGGTTGTATCAAAATTTATGACGCCCTTCCACTACGTGACGCCCAAACAATTTGGTTTTCACCAATAAAATTAATGGGTAGCATACTGTCGGTGGGTTTGTCAGTATCTCTTTGCTGAATCCACATTCCACTGGTCCCAATTTGAACCAAACAGGTTGATGTTGACGTCGCCGAACAATATCAGGAGTTTCTAACAGTGGCGGATAAAGCCAACTCGGGGCCCCTAGGTGGGGATTTTTTGTGATATGTAACGGTATTTAATATTCTTAACTATGTTTGATTTTGTAATATTTTGTTTCTGTTATTTTGTGTAGAATCTTTAGCACGCATAGTTTGTCAATTAAATTAAATTATGCGCTCTGACTTGATACGGGAAATGGCTTCCCTTAGAACTTCGATTGGCGACATTTTTTAATGTCTGGTAGTGCTATCGAACTAGGGTTGCCGCGGGTAACGGGTCGGGTACCCGTTACCCGCACGATTTTTGCGGGTACCCGTTATGTGCGGGTAGCGAGAACTACCCGCACGGGTAAAGGGTAGTTTAGTTTTTATTTAATTTTCGACATAAATCAGTTAACAAAGAAACTTAGCAGCAAGTTAAATAGTCCATTTATATACCAACAAAAGCGTCAATTTATTATTTTTCCATTTCAAAGTCATTTGCCAGCAACGAGCGTGTCTTTGCGGAAGCAACAGAAGCCAATGTCGACCTCAAATGCTTTTCACGTCCAGAAAATGCGGAGCAGTTACTCTTTCTCAAGGACACTGTCCTTGAGAAAAGGACGAGAAAGCGGGCCGGGTAACGGGGGCATTTTTGCTACCCGCGGCAACCCTATATCGAACTACCTATTTTAACTTCATAAAGAAAGTATTCAGTTTTCACTACGTTGCACCGCTCCCATAAATAAATTTAAGCCAGACAATATCGCTGTAGAAATGACTGAAGTTATTAGCGAAATTAAATTATTTACCTTTACTTTTAATCCTAACCACTTACATATTAACTAGCTATGAAATTTCTCTAGATTCTTGAGGAATTGGGCGTTAATTGGGAATCACCTCGAACTAGATTAAGACACCGATTAATATAATTTGTAATGAGGGCAACATAATTTTTTTGTGACAATTTTTGCCTGCGATTCCGCACACCTAGGGGTTCCAGTCCCGGGATTTTTCGGGATTTTATTCCCGGGAATTCCCGGGAAACGGGATCCCGAAATCCCGGGATTTGAAGAACTGAAATCCCGGGATTTCGGGATTTTTCAATTTGTCAATCAGAAGTGAAATTGCTTATAATTTACAATTTTAATAGTAGTTTTATATAATTTTCGGTTATATGATTGGTAAGAAAAAGTTTCGATGAGCATAACCAGTCAAAATTGATCCTGAACTCGAAAATTTAAATTTGAAACAATATTGATAGCCATATTTTTCGCACATTGATCTAAATTTTGTATTTAATTCGTAAGCAAAATTTTTAATACAAGATGGAACTTAAAATTTTCTAACTTCGATGTCAGATTTTAACTTGAGGCAACAAGAACACTTTATTTTCGGTATAATTATGGAATCTGAAATCAGTTATGCCAAAAAATACTAACACATTAGAAGTGATTTCGAATTTTAGTCGATGAATTTAAGGCTGAATGAAAGGCTTTTTGAAGGTAGTTCGTATATTTGAGCTTGAAATTTTTAAATTGCCAAATCCCATGTCCAATTGTAGTTTGTGAATAATGGTTCACAATTTAGGCCAAATAATACTGACGAACGTAAGTTTGTGCATTTCTGGTTAACATGCTAGCGAATCCTTGATTAATTATTTATGTTTTCTGGAATGAAATTATCAAACTTTTTCTCTCAAAAAAAGACGAAAATTGAGTATCACAATACATCGAAATTGTACATTTACTATGGCAGGCAAAACACTATAATCGCTAATTTGTATTGCTATCCTATATGCATTTTGTATAGGCCAGAAAGTAGCATACTTTATAATACTTATGCATGCACAAATCTCTAAAACACATCATTAGGTATGTAAATAAGTATTATAAATGAGTAAGAATTATAGGACTCGACAAAGACATCCAACGAGTATTTCAAAAGTGAAATTAAACTATTTTATTATGTTCACCTTATAAAAAGAAAAAAAATTGCAAAATATTTTAGGCGCCAAAATTTTCCCTGGGGAGTTATGAGACTTTTGGGATTTTAACGTGATGGCATAGGGAACAACTTATTTCAGGAACGGGTTGATGGAATTGCACAAAATTTTTCTCCTACACTCTTTGGATCAATACCTTGGTGCGTTCTTCGAATTGAGTCGAAATTCCAACTTTAAAGCCAAAAATTTTAATTTCGAAAAATTGGTTTTAGTTGTGACGCAAAAAGTATGGCGAAATGTTCGTCGATTGGATTTACCCCAATTTTTGATATGTTGCAGATCTTTGGTAGTAGATTAATAGTTCAATTACCCTAAACGTCGAAATCGACATGCGTGACCTTTTTCCGGGAGTCGAAAGGTCGCGATGTCAAAGGTCGCCGACCTTAATAAATGGGATATCGTTGGAAAGGTCTTGACGAGAGGATTCCGAAAATTTATACTTTGTGGGGTCTGGGACCACCCCCTGCAAAGCTAGAGCCAGGAGAATATTTTTGAGTTTTTCCCATTCGGGCTTCCGTGTTAGCTCCCTATCCACTGCTATGTTAAATTCTGGACAACTGCATATTTTCGTTCTTTGCCCTCTAGACTTGCATAGGGTCATCCCAGACCCCACAAAGTATATATAATCCTCTCGTCAAGACCTTTCCAACGATATCCCAGTTATTGAGGTCGGCGACCTTTGACATCGCGACCTTTCGACTCCCGGAAAAAGGTCACGCATGTCGATTTCGACGTTTAGGGTAATTGAACTATTAATCTACTACCAAAGATCTGCAACATATCAAAAATTGGGGTAAATCCAATCGACGAACATTTCGCCATACTTTTTGCGTCACAACTAAAACCAATTTTTCGAAATTAAAATTTTTGGCTTTAAAGTTGGAATTTCGACTCAATTCGAAGAACGCACCAAGGTATTGATCCAAAGAGTGTAGGAGAAAAATTTTGTGCAATTCCATCAACCCGTTCCTGAAATAAGTTGTTCCCTATGCCATCACGTTAAAATCCCAAAAGTCTCATAACTCCCCAGGGAAAATTTTGGCGCCTAAAATATTTTGCAATTTTTTTTCTTTTTATAAGGTGAACATAATAAAATAGTTTAATTTCACTTTTGAAATACTCGTTGGATATGTCTTTGTCGAGTCCTATAATTCTTACTCAAATATGCTCAGGCCAGGTACTTTTTATAGCCATGTACCTTTTTTTCCACCAAAATTGACTAATTTCAAGTTATATGGTAAGATTTGAATTTCGGGAAAAAATCCCGGGATTTGTCACGGCTAAAACCGGGATTCCCGATTCCCGGGATTTAAAAAATCGTCCGGGATTGGAATCCCTACGCACACCTTACAATGCACATGTCAGACATGTTTCGCACAGGGATCTTCTTGAAACCAGCACTAAAATATCAAGAAACTAAACAACAATTGGTGTGGAATTTGAGCACTTCTGCAGAATTCGCGAAATGGCGAAGGTTTTAAGTTTGCAAAAACGCGCATTTTCACCATGCGAAACTATACAGAGTTCACCTCTCCGCTTTACGATTTTCTCGTGCGCTTCTCTTCACCAGGTCATCAGTTTTCACATTTCGTCCAAAATTGAGTTTATTAATTTCTCAACCAAGTTCTCATCCAATTTACCATCTGTGGCTTTTAAATAATTTGCTAGCACTTTTTAATATTTAAAAATTCAAATAAGGTCTAATCTGTGGAATTTAAAAAAATTGGTTCAGCATATTGCATTCGATTTTTTTAAATTTCTTTCACAATGCGTATATTTGTAAACCTGTTTGAACATACAAAAACCGAATATACGAAGTTTCATGTGTGCTAAGGGCCAACATCATCACACAAATTCCTAAGATTTTTGTCATCAAAATCTTTAAACAACGCAATGCGAAAAATATGGAAAAATCGAATCCACTACTCAGCACAAATATTTTATTCCCTTCTGAATAAGAAGTTAAGTGAATTCATTTGAAATATTAAAAAGTGTAAACAAATTATTTAAGAATCACAGATGAAAAATCGGATGAGAACTTGGTTGGGAAATTAATAAACTCAATTTTGAACCAAAGGCGATAACCGGAGGCGAGAAGCGTAGGAGAATAGCAGAGAGGCGAACCCCGTTCGCTGGATGAAAATTCGCGTTTTTGCCAACTTCAAACGTTCGCCATTTTGCGAATTCTTCAGATGTGCTCAAGTGTCACACTAAATGTTGTTTGTGTTTAGTTCCTTGATATTTTAGTGCTGGTTTCAAGAAGATCCCTGTGCGAAACATGTCTGACATGTGCATTGTTAGTAGTTTGATAATAAATTTGGGGGCCCCTTAACAGATATGGAGACTTTTTTCTAGCCAAATTTTCTGGAAATATAATTTTTGGCATATATTTCAAGAATCAGTTTTTGTCTAGAAAAAGTCTCACCTCTGTCGAGGGGCCCCCACATTTATTATCAAGCTAAGTATGCGACGCCAAGTGTGCAAAAATTGTGCGCAATCGCATGCAAAAATTGTTCGAACCCACAAAAACACCTTCCAAGATTAAATAATCTACACTGGAAATAACTCGGTTACGATTATACCCAGAATCGAAGATATATATTTAACTCTACCACTGACTGGTTATCAATTTACATACAACCGACCGGTGAGAAATTTATTCCAAATCGGCAATAAATAATCGTAACCGAATTACCTTCAGCATATATACATAAATACTTAAGCACCTACTTGTTGTTTCCCCAAACTACTTGTTATGCGAGTAAGTACTTAATAACAATTAATCTAACAATAATTTATCCGCAGTATCAGTGAATTTATTTTTCGAAACTCGTTGACCAAACTTTAAGTATAGCACACCACGCCGAACCCGGGGGCCCCCGCTACGCGGGGGCCCCTATGTCACACCTACCCCACATACCCTATTTATCCGCCACTGGTTTCTAATGTTTTTCCGTCCAATCATCATGATTTTTAGCCCATTTAGAGCTACCTACAATATTGGACTTGTGGAGAAATGGATTTCTCCATGTTGCTCGCTATTCAAATCCATTTGAAGCGATCCGATTCTTTATAATTCGCACAGAAACTCGAAGAATATATTCTTGGCTAGTTTCCAAGCTGATTCTTGGTGAAGGTTACCGTGGAGTCATTGGCTTTTGCCGAAGTTGCCGTGATCCGTCCATGCGCGCTTGCTCCATGTCTATGAAAAAGCTGTTAAATTCTATCCCATCCCAAATTTTTTGCAGTTCCAGACTATTCTGGCAACTGTACTATTCTTAATGGGTAGTTAATCGGAAATTCTTTGGTGTCGAAGCCTTTTATCATCAAAATTAACAACTTTTTGCCCCAGGACGGGGTTAAAGTGTTTTTGAGTCAGTATGAGCTAATATTGATAACATATAAGTAGTTCAGCGTTGCAAAAATGTTATTAATCAAACAATAATACATCACCTGGTGGGTGAAGACACATTTAAGGGTATGTTTTTAAAAATTACACTGAAAGTACCAACAAGTCAGAGGGTGTAAAGACTTTTTTCCGGTCCGAATTTTGGATACAATTCCACCGTATCGTTGCTTGTGCCACGCCGCTATCCAAAGTATGATTCCGAAAACCTTGCATCATGATAAGTAATTGTGCGAAATTGCGGTTCATCTCCTCAAGCTTATCGAACAAAATCAGGCTTTATGTGCAAAAAGGATGAGGGTATAATGACTTTCTGCCCATACTGTAGAAATATGTATCTGTCAAATTTTGTAAAAGTTAGTAAATTTACAAAATTGACGGATTTTGCAATGTTACCAAGGACTTTGTGAATTTATGTAGGACAGCTGACGGGGGTAATGATTATGCATGTAAATGTAACATGCGACGTATGTATGGGTGGTCAAATTAGTGGTCAAGATTTCCCGGAAATCGATGACATGCTTTAAATAAATATTAACAAACCCGTAATTTCAATAGAAACTCGTCAATCGACACGGATCCACTCTTATCTTTGTCAAATGCATCGAAAAGTGCCCGCTTTTCCGGTTTTGTCATGCCCATTCCGGTGTCGTTCATGCCTTCCTCGAACTCTTCAAAGTTAAGGGACCGATTCTTATCGTCATCCATGCGTCGAAAGATTCTGAAAAAAATGAAATTTGTAAATTTGTGTTAAACGAATGTTTTGAAATTTGACCAACTTTCCAATCCCTGAAATCCCACTTGTCCCTCGAGCGAGACAAAGTAGCCTAAATTTTTCGACAGGATCGGTCGCCTTGGCCGCGGCGAGGCGCGCCTTCAATATCATGTTATCTTCGTTACGGTCATCGGTTGATCGACTCATCTGAAAAAATCGTTTGAAATTTGAAAAAATAAATTCCTGAGATTTGTCAATTTCTGAGAAGTGTGTGATTTCAAAACTTTCAGGGAAAATATAAATATTCATGACTGCAACTTCGCATGACAAATATTAGTTTAAAAAAATACCTTAAAAAGTGTGAAAAAACTTGATAACTTTAGATTTAGCTTGTTAACACTGATAAATTTCGTAAAATTTAAAATTTTGAAGTAAATTTCAGATGCGAAATATCTCTTGGACTTGTATTCACACAATTTTGTCTGAATAATGTCGTGGATAAAATATGAATGTAACAACACCTGCCCAGTTGTCATGTAAACGTTTTGCATACATTTGTATGTATGCACAGGAAGAAACAAAAGTTGTCCTGCTTACTTAGAAAAATTGTACTTGAATAGAAAACACTTTCAAGTTTGTCTCACAGTAAAGTACAAATAATGATATTCGTGTCAATGATGAACTCACGAATCGTGTTTTGTGCCGTATCGATTTCTTGCCCAGTGATGGGTGCTGATACTACACACAAAAGTTGTGTCGATATATTTGCAATTTATCAAAGGTTGTATATGAATTAGTAAATATGTACTTTCTATTCCGATTGCAAACGACAACGTTAATTAAACTTGAAAATATGGTTGGGGCATTTACGACGAATTTCCATGTCCACATGGGAGCACAATTTTGAAAAAAATACAAACGAAATATTTGCCTTAAGGATTAACAAGCTTACAAATTAGATAATTTTCAAGTCAAAATTTTTTACAAACATGCGAACTGTTTCTTACGATATGAACTCGTAGTGAATACCTCTAGTATTAACTAACCCGGAAATACTTTATTTTTCTAGTTTAATAAGACACTTAAGTAATGCATACATTGAGAAATGATTATGTCTAAGGAAGAAATCAATAGAAATATTACCCTCCCCAATTGCACATCAATACATAAATAGCCAATAAAGGGTATTGAAACATTGACAAATTGCAGTGGGACGAGGGTTATCACGCTGACATATGACAGACAGACAGACAAAGTATGGACAAATTGAGTACTAGCATTCCAGCCCCTTCCATAGATCATGTAAACTGCTTAGATATGACGGTGGATTCCTTTGTTAGCGAAGGAAGGAGGGTGGCACGTACCTCTCACAGCATGTTAAACCGTTAAAGTTAACTTACACTCTTAAAGATCCGGTGCTAATACATAGTTACAGCATACATATGTGACTTTACCAAGTGAGAATATTTTTCACCGCATGGAGATAAATCTTGTCCGCATGGTGTCAAATTGTCACTGAATGGTGTTAATTTTGTCACCATTAGGTTAATAAACATTATCAGAGCGCGCGCGGTAAAATGACATGTGCACACCGCGCAGTGACGATTAACACCGGGCCTTTAAGGGTTTTCGTGCCCCCTAAATCGTGGGGGTAGGCAATCATCTAGCCCAAAATTGTTCTCACTGTTTTCCTCAGAGTTTTACGCAATTTTCTACTTGGCCATACAGTTCCAACCCATTGGTTCCTTTTAATAATGCACGCACACATCTAAGGATAAACCCACGCGTCACACACCATCTGTCCCGATGTATGTATGCCAAGTCACATTTTATGATAAAACGACTGACGAAATATTCTGACCGAATTACTCATCAAACTGGAGAAAGCCCATATTGACAATGTTTCCTTGATAGATGATCCAACACGCCCAAATTATCTATTGGTGTATATATGTATTTATCTGGCTAATGAAATAATTGCCTAAATTATCGGGAATAATGTGCCCATTTCTATTAATTTTATCTTCTGGCGTGGGCAGAACGCTTTTGTCATTTTCTTATACACGTACATATGTAGGTACATCTATATTTGCATGCATACTTAATACCTGCGTACATGCATATGTCTTTACTTTACGCTTTCACAATTAACAGCCAATTCATTAAGAACATACACACATACATACTGATTAGTACATATCGAAATTATGTATGTATTTAGCTAGTCGAGCCAGAATTATGTATCATAAATTGGTCAGTCCCGGCCAACCTTTTGGACCAATAGAGTCGCCACTTTTTCCGCAATGTATCCCACTAATGAGCTAAAAATTCAAAAGGACACGAAATATGTGCCCACTTGCGCCAGTGTGCACGTTCCATTCTTTAAATTATTCCGGTATGGAGGAATTTATCCTTATTCCTTTGAATTTTATCCGGTCCCGGAGAATTTCAAAGGGGTCCGTCCGATTCGCAAAATAGGGACAGAAAAGTCCGGGACGTTTGTAGTGTTGAACAGAATCGTGGTGCTGATCCATATTTTGCAATGGGCCTATCTCGTAGGTCAATTAGGGTGGGAAATTTTTTCTCAAGATACCGATGCCGGCACGTTGCTGAATTTAGTTGCGTGGACGGGCACTTGCAGTTTAGGGCTAGTCATCGTGATAAAATATTATCGAAGTGGGGAGTCCATCTGTGAATTGATTACGGAAGTTGATGCGTTAGAGGCGGAAATATATGGTGAGTTGTGGTAGATCCACTATTTCGGATCCATCGGATTTTTTATCCGACCGTTTACTATAACATGAATCTGATACGATTCGACTGGTCTAATCGGGCCCGTTGGATAGAATCGGATCCATTTTACATTTAATAAACGGTCCGATTGGGTTATATCGCATTACCAACTTTGGATTACATCTAAATGATAGATTTTTTTACTCCAAATTTTAAATTTTAAAGTTAAAATTTTAAAAATTTTCAACTCTATGGTCCTCCCATGGCTTAAAAGTGTGGTGATATTTATTATTTATAAACCATAAAACAAAGGGCGTCAAGAATCAATGCATATTTAACAGTTCTGGTATTCCATGTTGAAAATTATAATGGGCATGGAATTTTTGGATAAAAAATGTCCGGATAAGCTAGCATACGCTGTATAATGAGCGTATTCATTACAAAATCGCAACGTCAGCAACTAATCAACGTTCCTTAGTTCTCTAAAAAAAATTGCTTCGAAATTCATTTTGAAACTAGAACATCTCCAAGGCTGGTATCCAGCTCTAGTTCGTGATTTCAAAAAATTGCTCTGCTGGGGGTAATGACTACCTCAAATTTAATTACGTACTCTCATTGTCAAACCAACAAGCTCAGTGGAAATTAAAAAAATGCTCGAACAGTTCGAGTCGAACTCTAACCTAACATGAACGTATACTGTACATGATATTGATATACATATGTATCCTATTAAAGAAAGTGTCTCAATATGTACCTATTTTTCCAGAAAAATACAAGGCCTTCATCCCATCCGGTAAGAAGATTCATAACCACAAAGCCGAATTTCGTTCTCTCGTCCTTCAAATGTGTGTCTTCTCAATTACGGGGGCTACTGTGACGATAATGAAGCACTTGAAGGACCCTATGTCACCCGTTTTCATGTACAACGTTTTCTCCAAAATCTCATCATCCCCTTGTTACCACTCGGTCTTCCTCACGATCTCCGTCACGTTTCAAGGTCTCTATATCATTTACGATTTAGGATTCATGGTCCAGCTCGTCGCCACGTGTCTCAACTTTTGCCGAATAGTGGGAACCTGCATCGGCCTGATATCCTATCGGGAAGAAAAATCCGGGAAATTTGAATTGCTGGGGGAAATGGAGCAATCCTTGAAATATTATAAACGCTTGAACGAACTAATGACGCAATCGAACAAATTGTTTGCTTGGGTTTTAGCAATTTCGATGGGCGGGTATTCCTTGATGGGATGCGTTGTGGCGTATTTGCCAATATATTATTGGACTTCGTCAAGCCCGTTGAGTTTGCTGGGATATGTTTTCCTCTTTTTTACAGTGGTGTACATTTTTTGCCGCGTAATTCCTCGCATGGGCGAGGTTTACGAGGTTACGAAAAATTTTAGGATGTCGTGGCTGAGAGGGGTGGCGTACTCGAGGGGAAGTTTGAGTCTGATTGTGGAACAGAGGAATTATCTGGAACTATTAAGATTGAGACTGGACACGTGCGTTCCCTTCGGATTCAAATGTGGGAACTTTTTCATTATTAATACTGTTACGATTTTGACCTTCTTTTCAGCAATTTCGACATATTTGATCATCATGTTACAGTTCGGTATTAAGTAAGAACTTAATGCGTACAAGGTGATATTTTTGTGGTAGTGAAAATATTGTGAAGAAAGTGAAAATTAGTATATGAAGTAATTTATTTTCAAAAATATTTACAATTATAAAACTTAATCATAAACTTAAACTAGTCAATAAAATTGTGCGCGTTCGTATGTACACAAACATATTCATAGTTTAATTACATACTAAAACAAGTTGAGGAGATTGCTGGAGTATTTCCGGTTCATTATATCGTACATACATATTCATATTTACATATTTTCGGAGAATTTTAGCACGATCTCGAGATTCGAAATTATTATTCACTTAATGAATATAGATGTTTTTATTCAATGAATAAACTGACATGCAAAGAAGTACGATTTGGCAAACCTGCTCACATCGCTTGCACAATTGTATCTTGGCACCCAGTATATTTTTCTACTACCACGATAATACCCGCCACTCCCAAAAAGGTGGTCATAACCAAGAGAAATGCACTCATGTGGGAAAAATTGAGGGCAACAGGTCCCTTCTTACCCCCACCTACTAAATTACTCACCCCGCCCAAGCTAATATTCCCTTGATCCCGCTTCCCTTTCACAATATCCCGTCCAATCCCTGCCCTCTGCTGGTCTCTATGAATCTCCAAATGTTTCTGGATCAACCCCGCTGCCATCATTTTCCTAAAAACGCTTAGAATATCCTCCTCAAAAATATTTCTGAATAACCTTATACACAATTTACTTGATATAAAATCCCTCGAAAAATAGACAAGTTCTCCTCTCAACTTGCCCCGTAGACCGTGTAACTCTTGCATTTCTGCAATAAATATGGCACAATCCTCCCGAACCATCTTTTCATACGCGATATAATAACCCTCCACTTGGTTGGAACAGTTTCTTAATGTCTTGGCAATCATAGAAATGGCGGGATCTCTCGTTAAACGTGCTTCGTATCTAATTACCCCAAGCACATACGCATTTGAACGAACACAATCGTTAGAATGGTTCCTATGTGGCTGTTTTATGTACGGCGATATAAAATAATTTCTAGTTAGCGCCAACTCCTTAAACGTAACGGGGCCAATTGAGTAACCCGGAGTGACAAAGTGCCCCGCTAAATCTCCCTTGAAAAATTCCATGAGCACGGTACAGGCTAAAATCCAGGCGGAAAATGCAATTCGAAAGGTTGCTTTAGTCTCCAATTTTTTAATCACACTTTGCCCCAAGGCCGATCCTATCAAAAGTTCAATCCCGCCAAATAAACTGTTCCAACATTTTTTCGATTTTAGCAG